ATAAAGTATCTACTGGTCATGACCTTGGACCTTTGACCCCTTGACCCAAAATCGGATAGGGTTTCATCTGCCTGGTCAAGAAAATCATCATACAAAGTTTGAAGTTCCTAGGCCTAAGCGTTTTTACTTAATTGATCAGAAACCGTTTTTTTTACTTTACAAGGTCAATGTGACCTTGACCTTTTGAACCGCCTTGACCCAAAATCAATAGGGGTCAAATTTGATGGTCATGGACGTACAATCACCCCCCATGCCAAGTTTTGAAATTCTAGGCCTAAGGGTTCTTTTATTATTTGCCGAAACCGTCTTTAACATACAAAAGTCAATGCTTGACCTTGACCTTTGACCCCAAAATCAATAGGGGTGCATCTGGCTGATCATGACCAATCACTATGCCAAGCTTTTATGGAAGTACCTATGGGGCCGAAGTGTTCTTTATTATTTGATCAGAAACCGGTTTTTACTTACAAGGTCAATGGTGCAACCTTGACCTTTGACCCTTGATCCCAAAATCCGAAAGGGGGTAAAATCTGAATGGTCATGAAAAAATCCCACCATACCAAGTTTTGAAAGTTCCTGGCCTAAGCGTTCTTAAGTTATTGATCAGAAAACCGTTTTTTACTTACAAGGTCGAAGTGTGACCTTGACCTTTGACCCCTTGACCCAAAACTCAAAAGGGGTCATCTGCTGGTCACCACCAATCATCATACAAAAGTTTGAAGTTTTTCCTAGGCCTAAGCGTTTTTAGTTTATTGAACGGAAACCGTTTTATTACCTACCAAGGTCAATGTTACCATGACCTTTGACCCCTTGAACCTAAAAACAATAGGTAAACTGCTGGTCATGACCAATCCCCATACCAAAGTTGAAGTTCCTAGGCCTAAGGGGGTTCTTAAGTTATTGATCCGCGAAAGCATTTTTTACCTACAAGGTCAATGTACCTTTTTCCCCTTTGACCCCCTTAAATAACCCCAAAATCAGTAGGGGTCATCATTGCTAGGTCATGACCAATCACCATACCAAGTTTCGAAGTTCCTAGGCCTAAGGGTTCTTTAGTTAATTGATCGGAAAACTGCTTTTGAACCTAAGAGGTCAATTGTGACCTTTCAGACCTTTGATCCCCTTGACCCCAAATCAATAGGGGTTCACACTGATTATGACCAATCACCATAAGCACCCAAGTTTTGAAGTTCCTAGGCACTAAGGTTCTTTAGTTAATTGATCCGAACTGTTTTTACCTAGAGGTCAAATGTGGACCCTTAACCTTTGAACCAACCTTGACCCCAAATCCAACATAGGGGTCATCTACTAGGATCATGACCAATCACCATATCAAGTTGTAGCCCTAGGCCTAAGGGTTCTTTCGTTATTGAATCGGAAAAAACCGTTTTTACCTACAAGGTCAATGTGACCTTGACCTTGATTCCTTAACTCCAAAAAATCCAATAGGGGTCATCTACTGATCATGAAACCAATCACCATATCAAGTTTGAAGTCCCTAGGCCTAAGGGTTCTTTCGTTTTATTGATCGGAAACCGTTTTTACCTACAAGGTCAATGTGACCTTGAACTTTGACCACTTAACCCCTCAAAATCAATAGGGGTCATCTGCTGGTCATAACCAATCACCATACCAAGTTTTGAATTTCCTAGGCCTAAGGCGTTCTTTTGTTATTGATCGTGAAACCGTTTTTACCCGAGGTCAATTGACCTTGACCTTTGACCCCTTGAAACCCCAAAATCAATAGGGGTCATCTACTGATCATGACCAATCACCATACCAAGTTTGAAGTTCCTAGGCCTTAAGGTCCTTTACTTATTGATGCGGAAACCGTTTTTGCTTACAAAGGTCAATGGTGACCTTGACCTTTGGACCCCTTGACCCCAAAATCAATAGGGGGTCATCTACTGATCATGACAAAAATCACCAGACAAGTTTGAAGTTCCTAGGCCTTAAGGTTCTTTAGTTATTGATCGGAAACCGTTTTTTGCTTACAAGGTCAATGTGACCTTGACCTTTGACCCCTTGACCCCAAAAATCAATAGGGGTCATCTACTTGTCATGACCAATCAACCATACCAAGTTTGAAGTTCCTAGGCCTAAGGGTTCTTTATTATCACTCGGAAACCATTTGGTCTACGGACCGACGGACCGACAAGTGCAAAGCAATATACCCCCTTTTCCTTCGAAATGGGCGGCATTAAAAAGTAATATTTTTTAAGGAAAAATTCTAAGTTCAAGGGGAGAATAAATCTGAGAATATTGGTGCTAGAGATATAAACCTTGTCACATAAGATGTGGTTGATGATAAGAAACATATATTTGAAGTTTGAAGTTGATACCTTAAGAAAATGACAAAGTTATAGTGAAAAATGTTTTACTGCCACCAAAACTTTAATCTGAAATCTGGACGCGGACACCGGGGCGAGTAGGACAGCTCCCATATCTTCTTTGTAGTCGAGCTAAAAAATTACAAGGTAACTTTACAAAGGCTTTAGACTAGAAGATACTATTCCACTCCGCTTGAAAACTAAATACATTTATTAGTAGGGCTATTAGTTCATACAGATTTTAATTATAATTTGATTTTGTTGAAAGCTATAATGTTTGAAAGCTATAAGCTTTTGTATCCATTCCTGGAAACCTATCAATTCTGAGCAATGGGTGTAAAGTTTCTTGCTTAAGGGCAGGAAGAGCTTGCCCATGACAGCCAGCAATCCTTAAGACTACTACTATCGGAGACATATTAATCACTCGGCCATGAGGCTGGTTCTTGTAACAGGGTGTTAGAGAAAAGATAAACATAACTAGATGTGAAATGATTTTAATGATGATAAACAATTTGATACAAATTAAAAACAAAATTTACTTACAGTTGTTCACCTTAATACATGATAATAACATTAATTATAATGAACTGTTTATAAATACATTGATATCTTGAAAGGACTGCTATTTGCCTTTAACATAAAATGATACATGTCTATATAATCAATAACAGGTCTGTATATATCACTGTTCATAACGACCTGTTTCCAAAGCAAACTTTGTATAAAATGTTTTCCTTAAAAAAAAATTGCCAAAGTAAAAAATATTTTGTTTCCCCAACAAAATCCCATTCTTATGGGAAAAATTTTAATTAAAAAAAAGGGCTTTGCCCTAAAAAACAACCCCGTCCAAAACCCCTTAAAAATATTTAAAATTTTATTGAAAAAAATAAAATAGGGGCCCTTTAAATTTTTAAATTTTTTTTTTTTTCTCCAAAAAATTTAAATTTTTTGTATATTCAAACCCATTTTTAGGGGTTTTTAAAAAAAATTTTTAAAATAATAAAATTAAACACATACACTGCCTTATTATCATATCAATGGTTAACTGGTAAAACCATAACCATGTTAACTGGTGAACTCATAACCAAGTTAACTGGAAAAACTAAGTGGTAAATTTATCACCTAGTTAACTGGTAAAACCATAACCCAGCTAACTGGTTAACCCATCACCCAGTTAACTGATAAAACCTTAACCCAGTTAACTAGTTAATTCATCACCCAGTTAACTGATAAAATCATTGCCCAGTTAACTAGTTAATTCATCACCCAGTAACTGATAAAATCATTGCCCAGTTAACTAGTTAATCCATCACCCAGATAACTGATAAAACCATTGCCCAGTTAACTAGTTAATCCATCACCCAGTTAACTAATAAAACCTGAACCCAGTTAACTAGTTAATTCATCACCCAGTTAACTGATAAAACCATTGCCCAGTTAACTGGCACATGTAAAATTATAACCCAGTTACTCTATTAATTTCATTAACTTAATGTAAGACAGTGAGTATTTTCATCATAACATGATATATTTATTTAAGTTGTCACTAACCCCTAATAAATTAAATTCTACTCTAGGGGAAACCCTTTAACCCCCCCAAAAAAAAAACCCTATACAAAAAACCAAAAAAAGAAAAATAAATTGGGTGATCCCCACTTTCAAAAACCCAAAATATTCCTTTGTATTGCAAAATTTTAAAAGATGGGTTAGAAACTTGATACTGTTTTAAAAAAGAAAAGCAGCCACCAATTTTCCACATTCTGAACCCAAAAATTTTAAAAGGGGGGGTTTTTTAAAAAGCTCAACCCTTTTAAAGTTTAAAAAAGGTAAAAGATTACATACAAAACCCCGACCAAAGAAACTTTCATTTTCAATATTCACAATCTTCTTGTCTAGAAGTAGAAGATTCATCAAATATTTACATATTAAAACAGCTAAGCTCGGCTTTGCTGTCACAGCGACCTACAATAATCTAATGAATAAATATCTACAAATAAAATCTTCACAATACAGCACTTCTTGAACTTCCACTTTTATTTTCCTAATACCTTTGTTTGTCTAGTACTGCACACTGACACAAAATCCCAGCACTAGAATACAACATTTGAGCCGTGTCACAACAAAACCAACATAATGGTTTTGCGACCCGCATGGATCCAGACCAGCCAGCGCATCCGCGCAGTCTGATCAGGATCCATGCTGTTCGCTTTCAGTTTCTCTACTTGTAATAGAGTTGGTAAGCGAACAGCATGGATCCTGATCAGACTGCACGGATGCGCAGGCTGGTCTGGATCCATGCTGGTCGCAAACCCATTATGTTGGTTTTGTCATGACGCGGCTCAAATGTTATGACCCAGAAATATTTGCCGGTCAACAATGCATATTAATGGTAATTTGACCAGTAATGTCAAAGGAATTCTCTTGTGTTGTATTATGTACATGTATATAATTAACATCCTCTCAAGTACATAAATCTTAATAATTCATGTAAACCTGCATCATTTAAAATAAATGAACATTATTAATATCTACAAAAAATAACAATAAAAATACACGAGTCTGATTAAGAAATCCAATAATAATCTTTACAGCCAGCAGCCATCTTATAAAGACATGATTGGAAACATAAAACAACCTGATAAATCTTCTTAATTTTATTTTATTTTAAAATCATCTAAAAAATATCTATTACTCATCAATCAGATATTATTCATTCCGAATTTAAAATTAACTAAAGAAAGTTCAAACTAGTAATGCCCCTTGTCCAAAATGAACTGTTATATATAGAATATTGCACACAATAATGCTTACTGTACTCAAACTGAAAGTGATAAGCGTTTGCCACCAGTATAAGTCAGGCCAGGGTGGGCGTCAGTGCTGTCTGACCAGGCCCTATACTGTTTGTAACTCAATTTTTGTATTTTGATATTTAATTTTCTTAAATTTCCAAATTCAAAGCAGTGTAAATATATTACAGAAATTCAGCAGATTATGGACTTATCTACAGTCTGACAATAGCATGGACAAAAAAAGAGACAGATTTGCAAGTTTTGTATAAAGGAATGTTTCGTTTTTTCTATCCAAGAAAGCAGATATAAATCTTGATGTAATATAGAAATGAGAGCACACAACATTTATATGTAGTAAGAAAATATGTCCAAAAAGATTTACACAAGTAAGAAACATAAAGAAGATGAATATTCTTCTGGGTATAGAAAGGGACAGGGCAAAAAAATGAATATGGCTTCTTTTCTGAAGATACATGTAGCAGAATGAACCCTCGTCTGGTAAAATGTGAGAATGCGAAAAATTTAATCAAAACATTTTAGCTGCAGTAAAAAAGATTCGCTTATGCCATCAGTTTAGAGCCAGACCATTTTGTACATTTGTGCAGTTCTTGTCAGACTTTATACTGATGGTCGCTCTATTTATTATTTCATCCTGAAATCCCCTAAATCAAAATTGAACTGTTCCAAATTCACAAGACAAGTCCATTTTCTGGGGGGGGGGGGGGGGGGAAATGTTTTGTAACTTGTAGGAATAATGATAAAATTAAAATATAACTGTACACATGTTTCAAATTTATGTAGGAGGGGCCAACAGTGAGATGGATATATAAATAACTTCTACCATAACAAAATAGGTAAAAAGTATATGATGATACAAAAAGCAGCACCCTATCAGAGAGAAATCAACACACAGTTCTATAAATAATACACAGTTTGAAACACATTTTGAGCTAAAGAAATGATTTTATAATAATATAAAATCATCTTATTACTTACATCTAGAAAGAAATTAAACATCTTCCAGAAGATAGGTAAAACAAAATGTAAGGTGCATTTTCAAAGTAAAACAAAGTCCTGTTTTACCATACAACAAAACATGTCCAATAAATGATAACTACTTTTTCCAAGAAATAAATACATCTATTTAATACAAAAAGATATATATTGGTCCCAACAGTAGAGATGAAAACAATGTATTTCTTATAATCTCAAATCAGACATTTTGATAAAATTTACAAAATTATACAGTGCAACATTAAAATCAAAAATAATTTTACACTTAACAATAACACTATATTTTCTCAAAAGAAAAAAAAATTATATTCCATTAAGTTTGACTTAACTTTCATTTTAAATCTACAAACAATTAACATCACTTGGGGAAAAAACATGACAAGATAATATTTGACTCTTTCAGCTAGCTTCCCGTAATTTAGTTGATATAAACTAGAAAGTATAGAGAGAAAATAATCTTTCACACAATTTGATTCTTACTAGTAATTCAAAACATCCTAACAGGAAAAATTAATCTGTTACAATTGGTACAATTTGAATCTTATTCTATTAACACCATTGAATGATTTTAAAAAAAAATCATTCAAACCACACTTAAGCATTGAACTTGGAAGAAATATTTTACAAAAAAAAACCCAGATAGTTTTCTAAGCACAACATATACATTTACATACATTAATAAACTGTTAGGATCTATTAATGGCAGCTAAATGATCTAGTATTTATAATGGGAAGAAAAAAAACACACAAAAAAATACAGTCCATAGTCTGAGGAAAAAAGGTTTGAAAACCAGTCTAGAAATTTAACAATGCAACCATTGGTCAATTTCAAAAATATCATTTAAATTAGCCAATCAGATGCTGTCTAACATCTAGAATTGTTTTTAAACAGAATCTAGCCAACTCTTAAGATCCTCAGAAAACAAATTTTGCTCTGAATGAAATTTAGTCAAAAGGGCAAATCTATCTAATTGCCATTTCTTTTATAAAATAAGAAACATCAAGGAACGAGAGAACTTTAAAATAAAACAGCTCATCCAATGCAAAAATGAGCATTTTTAAGATTGAATTCTTCTGAAATCATCGTTGCATTGGATTCAACACACTTGAAGATGTAATGAATTGAACTGCCTTGAAATACTGAATTTCAGCATGTGAAACCTTTCACCTTAAAAAGTCTCAAATGAAAATAAAGAGATGTTGAAATGGGAATAAAATTGCAAGAACATAATGTGGCTGCCTACCATAAGAGACTTTGTTAATGCATGTATGAAACTAAAATCCATTCAGAGCATGTAGTAACAATCACATGCCATAATAAAAATCTCCTTACAGACAATCTGGAAACATTCTATAGATTTATTTTACATCAACAGAAAGGCCATTTCTTTGTCAGAAATCGCAAGCTTTTAAGAAATATATATCCCTTGTGTGCATAGAGGTTTACAAGATCACAAATATTTTAATGAATATTTGAAAACTTCTGATAATAAGATTTATTAAAATTTAAAAATCCTGCCCTACCTACATAATTTTTGGTTCCAAATATAACAGAAAGGAACAGTTTATTTTAAAATCATAGGAGGAGCAGGGTCTTACCATTTCTGAATGTTAAAACCATGAAGGACACATTCAAACTTATTTAAATGTATGTTCTGAGTCAAAAATATATATACACAGATATAAATCACAACTGTATATTAAATTTTGGGCACAAGAGCCTAAGGCTGTCCTTACAATTCATTCAAAGCCAAAAGAGTTCTGCTGCTACGATGTTCAACTGTGTAATATTAAGAATGCATAATTTATACCTCAAAACAATAAATATAATCCATATATACCTTTAATATTTGTTCTCTACAACACTTCAATTAATTGTATACTCTTGTATGAGATTTTATATTAAATATGTTTATTTACCTCACAATAGTGTATAAATGGAGAAAGGTATTAAACATAGCAAACTACTTGATGACAATCAAATGAACTATATGAGCTGCATCACGACAAAACCAACATAATGGGTTTGCGACCAGCATGGATCCAGACCAGCCTGCGCATCCGCACAGTCTGATCAGGATCCATGCTGTTCGCTTACCAACCCTATTACATGTAGAGAAACTGATAGCGAACAGCATGGATCCTGATCAGACTGGGCGGTCTGGATCCATGCTGGTCGCAAACCCATTATGTTGGTTTTGTCATGACGCAGCTCATATTTGCTAACTTTCTCAAATTAAAATCATCTTTCTGATAAAAGTCCTGTTCCTCTACTTGTTCTGGAGATAGTATATTTATATGAGAACAAATTTTAGAACAGATTAAGTTTCTGGCACTAGTGGGTTGGGTATAGAAATATTGTTTGTCCACATCATTGCTGGCGTAATATTTTAACGGCTCTTTTGTTGGCTGTATCCACTCTGTCTGTAAGTGATTCTCCCTGTGAAAATATAAATCATATCGTTGTTAATAGAAGTTAATAATACTGGGGAAGTATCATTCATTTCTAAACATAATTATTGTCTTCTCACTGAAACAATAAAATATTTCCAGAATGCAAGATTAATCTGATTTTTTTTCATATCTTTTAAAAATTCAAATGTTAAAACGTTAAGCATATTTTATTTCATTTTTCTTGGAAAAAAATAAACACGGAATAATCTTTTAATCTTATTTTTAATTAATCTGAGACAATTTCCTAAAAATAAAAAGAAGAACCTCTGAAATATCTAATAATTTAACAGAAAGCAATCAATTATCATATTCCTGAAGTTTAGATACTTAATTCTAATATATCAATCAAAAGGCAATATTGAAGTATTTATCATATTTAAATAATATTGTTGGTATAGCTCTTAGGAAACCATACTTAAAACATAGGAAAAGTAACTCCAAATGTACTTAATGACAACAAAAAACCTACATCTATATATTTTGTCATACAAAAAACCCGAACTTAAAAAAATCAAAATAATTTATTTATCATACAAAAACACAAACTTAAAATCAAAATATTTTGGCAAAGGTTATCAATATTTTAATATTTTGGCTTGGTTACAAATTCTCCAAATATATAAATATAGTAAGAGGTGCTATAGGGCTTCATCTGAAGTCAAGTATGAGATTTGTTGCGACTTATTTTCCAATATCCTACCACCTATAAGTTGACTTAACCAAAACTGATGTGAAATCAATTAAATAGGCAACTTTATGGCTCTAAATGAAGACGATTTAATCTTGTGTTGCAACCCTTAGGGTGTAATGTTCTTTCATTACAATTTTAGTGAGATAGTGAAAAACATAGAGAGATATAACAGAGAAACATTCCCACCTCAAATGTACAAATTTCATAATAATGTAAAACAGACTGGGTTTCTTTTACTTCTAAACGATTTGCTCAACCACTCATCAGCATTGCCTTATATTGAACATTTGTGAAATTAATGTTTGCTTAAAAAATATTACATTATTTTCCAAAACTCCTTTAAATAATACGAACAGTTTAGTTAAAGTCCAAGTATTATTGATATAAGCTATGAGATTATGTAAATACCTTCTTTAAGCTTTCAAGCAGACTATTAAATGCATTAAATACAATGTTTCCTATTATTTACTTGATGTCTGTAACCATTTGCCTTACTTATATCACTTGTGCGCTCTGACATGAAAGTTTTGATTACATTTCTAAATGAGCCAATGTTCTCGGTTTTCAAATAAAACTAATGTAATGTGTATACTGATTTTTGGGCTATTGCCTCGTAAATGTTTTTGTCTACAAAATGTCCTGACATTTAAGAAACCGAGGTAATAAATCTTAACCTACTGAAACCTAAATAAATAACCTTTAACCTTTGCCACCAGTATACAGCAAGGTCAGGCTGCACACTGCACATCTGTAATGCACACCCAATATAATTACTTACAGTAGAAACACCAATTAAAAAGTTTCAATAGCAACATTGCAAAAAAGGTGTAAGCATTTCTTCTTGTAAGCTGAAAAGTGGTAGGGTCCATTGACATATCAAACAACACATTTAATGAATGAAACATAAAGTTAAAATTAGATCAGTGAAAAAGATCTATGTATTGTGCAAGTTACGAAACAAAATATACCAAATTAGGTAACTAAATATCCAACAAATTTTAGGCAAACACTCAGTTAGTTAAGGCTTTCAACTATCATTCGACAAGATGACTAAAATTTGACTCATAACATTGCTATCTGTTTCCTGATAAAAAGTAATATATTGTTGTTCAAAGAAGAAAAGGAGCCAAAGGCAGTAAAAGGGAAAATTGATACTGAATGTGGGTTTAAGGGCTTACTATGACCGTATTTCAAACTTCAGTAGCCTGAGCGAATAATGTATCACCAAATAATCTTTGAGCAAATAACCAATAAGTAAATGACATATGAGCAAATAACCTATGAGCGAAATGAACAAATAACCTTTGAGTGAAATGAACAAATAACCTATGAGCAAAATGAACAAATAACCTATGAGTGAATAACAGAAAATAACCTATGAGCAAATAATATATCAGCAAAATGAGGGAATAACCTATGAGCAAATAACCCATGTATGAATAACACCAAATAACCTATAAGCCAATATTTACATATGAGTGAATAATGTATGAGGCAGTAACATATGAGTAAATAACCTATAAGAGAATAACCTATGAGCGAATAACCTTTGAGCAAATACCCTATGTATGAGGGAATATTAATTATCTTGTTATTTAATACTCATGTACAGTTTCATCTCGGAAATTATCAGATAAATACCACATATGTTGTGTCTAACGAGAATCAAAAAGAAACTTAGCTTCAGACAATTTAAGATAAAACTTTAATCAAGATTCCAAATTACTTACTTGTCCAACATGTTAACATTAAGCATTAGACTTTAAGCTTTATTAATAGAGCAGTAAAAGTTTGTCACTACACAATAAGTTCAAAAGTCAGATTTTTTTTTTCAGTTAAAGCATAGTATTGTCTTATTATAGAATACATAGAGGATATTGAATGAGTGTAAGTTTAATACTGAATTTATTGCACGAGTTGGATAAAATTATATTATGCGAGCCTCTGGCGAGCATAATATTATTTTATTCAACGAGTGTAATAAATTCAGTAATGAACTTACACGAATTTAATATTCTATTTATCACATACCCAAAATAAAGACAGTTTAAAGTAAAATAAGAGGCATTTTTCATTGACACGCCTATAGTATAACGCTAACATTTAGCGCGTCTTTACACTATGTTTGTATAACGCTAATGACGTCACGTCAAAATATATGCACGGCCGTGCAATACCATATTTACGGAGTTGCAAAATCGGCACGAGTGTGTGATAAAAACAAATATTGTATAGTTGCAAATTAACATTTAAGAATACACAAATAATTTAAGCCAAACCTTTCTTTTATAATGAAATACATTCAAAAATTTGATGTACTTTCAGTAAGTTGAGATTTGGAAGTAAGTAATATTCTTTTCTCCATTATTATTGACCAATTAATCTGTCATGAAAAAGTTAGAATCATTTAAGATAAAACTTTTACATTTCTTTACAACAAGTCCAAATGCAGTTCAGACATATCACTTTTTACAAGGTAACAAAAACATAGCAAGGGAAACTTCCTTAAATTTGGGTTTGAAATTATTTTTCTTAATTTGTTAAAAAAAGCCACTGGAAAGTATTTTATTATAAAATATGGTTTGTCAAAATAATCAAAAAGCAAAATCATGAGTAACAAAATGAATGGCTATCTCCGAATGCTGACAGAAACACCTATATATCTAACACAATAAAGAAGGAAACTATAAAATTTGTCAGTTATATTTGCATTCATGGACTCAACATAATCTTCTGCTGTTTTTTTGTTGGTGGTTTTTGTTTTTGTTTTTTTGTTTTTCGTTCTGCTGATATAAGATTTTTGTACCATTGTATCATGATTTTCTTTTTACTGCTAACAGATCAGTTTTTGTTGTTGTTGTCTAGACAAATCATTTTTCCACACCTGATTTATGATATTTTACTGCTTATTCATGTTATTTTCAAGATATTGTGAAATAATAATATGAATCTTGCTTAAACTAACTACATCAAATTTAATGAAATTGGTGTTGTTTTTTTTGTTGATTTTTTTAATTTCATTTTGTTAATACCAAATTTTACCCCTATCTTTTTGCAATCAATTCAAAGAATTGAGGTACAAAAGTCTAAAATCATAAAATTTGAAAATCATTAACAGTTCCACAGTGGAACACTTAACAATGAAAAATGTTAAAAAGACAATGAAGAAATATAAATAGAACTTTAAAAAAGTTTCTTAACCTGATTAAAGTTTACGGTAAACTTTAAAGTGTTAAAAATTGAAATGCTTTTTATTTTCGGTCATTTTCCACAGTTAAAATTAATTATTTTGGAAAAATGGAGCAAGAGACTCATCTAGAATTGGTCCAGACTTTTATAATGGTATAAAAAACCTGATAAAAAATTTTCCAGACCAGTTATGTCAGAAAAGTTCCGTGGAATCACTTTTATATTCATATTTTTTTATTGTGTTTTTCACACCAAATACAGCAAGTATAACTGACAAAAGAAAAAAGAACTGTAATTTGTACATATAAAAGAAAATGAATGTGAACATGTTTTACAATAAGAATAACCATTTATAATAGCAGCAAGAAGTAACGAGACATCTAGGATTTGAGAAGTTTTGCGGCCCTCGTGTTCGCCTCTCGGATGCGTTCCTCGTTTGACTCTGACTACAAGGGGTATACAAGACATTGGTTAGCACAGATTCTCATCATAGTTTACCACAAAAATCAACAATTATAACACATTTCTGGCAAAATAACATGGTGTGACAAATAACTGGTGTTTTAACAATTGTGAAGGTAATTATATAAAATATGGTTAACCGCAAGAAATGTGGGGGAGGCAAAGAAGTGTTTAGTTTCAGAATTTGTTAATTATAATTTGAGTTAAAATTTCATAACCATAGGCATTACGTTGAGTAAACATAATAGGATTACTTCTAACAGGCATTTTTCCTAAAATATTGTAATAATCTAAGCCTATTTAGTTCAAAATGTGATTTTTTTTTTTTTATAAAAGTCTCATATAGACAGAATAATCTTAAACAACAATGTCTTTTACTAATATCAAAGCATAAATCGCTCTTACAAAATCATTTTTTTACAAAGCCTGGTTTAATGATAACTTAACAGTAACACACTGAGTGTTAACATGGTGTTAATGCATAACATAAATATCAAATTGTTAATTCTTAATCCTTAAAGAATAATCTCCATATATTTCAAATAAACATATTTTGAAAACAGCTAAAATCTTATAAAAACGTCTGTATTATATTTTGTCTTTTTGCAATTAAAACTTTATATATTCAAAGACATTAAGTTTGTTGAGAGATAGGCATAGAAGCAACATTAGGTAAGTGTAACAACACGAGGGCTCAACGCGAAACTAGTCCATGTGCTTTTTCAAATGTCTGACATACTTAAATGGACAAAACAAAGAAAAGTGGGGGCCATCCGTTTCCTCTGCACACATTTCTAGATGCATGTATTTCAAGGTTAATCAGACAAGAAATATCTTGAATGTAAATCAAAAGGCAATTTCAATCGAGCATTGGATTTGTTATGGAGGGGTGCTGGTTTCTATTCTCAGGCAAAGTGAAATTTCTGTGTGACAGTTATGTCTCGTTAAATAAAGCCTTTATTATTATTATTATTATTATGTCTTAGGTATAAAGTCTAATGTCCATTCAGAAATCACATGGGATAAGTAGTTGGTCATTTGCAGAAAATATGGTAATTACAGGTAAGTTATTCAGAAAAATTGGTTATGTGGACTGACCAACAGTCAAGTTTTTGAAAAACACTGCTACCTAACTTATTTAAATACATGTAAATTTGTTGCTTCCATCAATTCTTGCCACTTAAGTTGGCACTTTGAAATCTTTTTAGTTAAATTCAATCATAATTTAAAGTTACATTAAATATATTTCATAAAAAAAGAAAAAGCGACATTTCATTAATAAATTGGGTTTCATATCGACTCCAGATCTTATTTTGGTGTCCAGACAACCAAAATGAGTTTAATGAGCATACAAATGTGCAACCTCATTGTGGCGAATTCGGAAGTACAATTTCTGTTTGCATGAGAAACTCCGCCTTCGGATCATCCGTACATCAATGTTAAATCAACAAACATGACTATAAGTAGCAGTCCTAATTTAACGGTATATTTCCGCATTGTAACGGATATTTTCATACAAATTTAATCTTTTTCATGAGATGATTATTTTTTCTGAACCCCAGGCCTAGTGCACCGTGAAGCTTAAACGGTAAAAGTGTGTTTGCGCAAGAAAATCTTATATTTGCTGTGTTTCGGATAGCTACTATAACACCGTGACGTAGCGCATACACGAGCTGATTATAGTCCTCATTTGCATGTTAAAATTCGTATACGAACTTTAGTGTTACCGTGGGGTTTTCCAATTAAAATCCTAATTTATGAACAATATTTGATGAGATTTACAACGATACTGTTAAAAAGGTTAATGAAACTGTAGAATGCTTGGTTTTTAGGACGACGGCAAAAATATTTTTACATATTTATTTAATGTAGCTTTAAGAAAAATAATGCCTGAATTGAACAAAATAGGAAAACTTTTGAATGATTGCAGTTGTATGGAAACAAGATTGCATTTGTGAAATGTCAGATAGACTAGTTTCGTGTTGACCCCTCGAAACAGGGTTTTTAAAGAAAGTACGTATGTATTGAAACCTTCTAATGTAAGTATCAAATGTTAAATTAGTAATATCTATCATCCTCATTATATAACATTAAACACATGCGTCTCTAATTACCATAAACCTGTGTAAGTCTTAAGGTGTTCAAATCTAGCAATAGTTACAGTAAATTTGACATTTTCGTCTTCTCCACAAGAGACAATGCTTGTATTTAAACAGAAGCCATGGTCAATCACCATACAACGACCAATGATAAACGATAAAAGCTAATTAACATCCAAATGTGTTGAAGGTCATATCAATGAGAAAGAAATAGAGATTAATTAAAAATATGGAGAGAACACCTTAACACTACACTGCCATTGTCATTAAGAGGCGCTCTTTCTTCCATTACCTTTAAAAAGATTGAGTCTAGTTTCAACTTTACCATTAATATACGGAATGAAAAGCAGAATTAAATTGTCAAACTGTTTTAGTAATTTCAAACACATGACAAAGGACAAGTTGGAAGGGGTTGTCATTACCTTTTGGTTAATTCTGTCAAGTTGTCTGTTTTGTGAGCCTATTTCATTGCCCATATCGACGGCCATGTTTCTTAGATTTCCCAGCATGCCACTCACTTCGCCAAGATTCTGTTCCATTTCATCCTCGCGTGCATCATTTGTTATTCTGTTCATAATATAATAAATCAATATATTTATTAATTTAAATATATATACATATAATATATACACATTCTGAAAATGTAACAGAGAAGTAACCATGTTAATATAATTTTCTTCAAATTCAATGTTGTTGTTTTTTTTGTTTTTTAATTTTCTTCCTTTTTATCACATTACACTCTATTTTTAAATCTCTTTTATTGTGAAAAAGGAATTGATTATAATTAATAATTTTTTACAGTCTTTAACGGAAACATGCCTTTAATCAAAGCCATGACTGAGGCAAGGAAATCATTAATTAATTAGTGAATGAAAATTGACATATTTTATATACCGGTATATATTTATAGAGATCAATTAAGTATCAATATTGAAAGTTTAAAAAAAAGATATTTTGTCAAGTGAACATTTTCTAAAATAATCATTATCAGATACTCCATACAGAGTGACTAATTTTAATGAGTTTAAGTAATAAGAGTTATATTGATCAAGTGGGATAACTTTTGAAATATTGCTAGTTAAGATTTTGATAAATTGGATCAAATTTATCAAATTCTATAAAAAAAAAAAGATGCTAAAGTTTAAATAAATTATAATACATGTACAAGTATAAAGAAATTATGGCAATATTAAAACTGTCCTCAAAGCTGTGTGCAAAAATATTAAACATTATAAAAAACGTGTCAAAAGTGCATTGATGCAAAAAAAGAGCATGATTTCAATATAACAAAAAAAAAAGATATAAAAATGTGTTTTACAGACATGATTGTGTTTATAACATAAGTTACATTTCTTTTACAGCAATAAAATGTGCAAAATTGAAAATATCTATGTAACAAAACATGAAAATAATACATTCATTTTACCTTTACTTCATTTTATTTTAATTTGATCTCTTTTTCACTTTTTATCTTACATTGATGCATGTCTACTTATCAGTATTAAAACTGCCATGTAAAACTGTTGTTTAAATTAGAATCAACTTGGGGTGGCTGTTTAAGGGGCCTCCATGGCCGAGTGGTTAAAGTCGTTGACTTGAGATCACAGGTCCCTCACCACTGTAGGTTCGATCCTCACTTGGGTCGAAATCTTTCATGTGAGGAAGCCATCCAGCTGGCTTACGGAAGGTCGGTGGTTCTACCCAGGTGCCCGCTCGTGCCTGAAACAATGCCCGGAGGGGCACCTGGGGTCTTCCTCCACCAATTAAAGCTGGAAAAAAATCGACGAAAAAATCTCGGCGGGACGCTCTAGGATGACCCGACTTGAGTGTAAACGGTCGCGCCATATGGGCTTTCCGGCGGCGACCTTAAATAAACGCATCAAAAAAAAAAAAAAAAAAAAAAAAAAAAAAAGTGGCTGTTAAAGTTAAACATAAAAGCAAATTGTCAACTTCCTACGTTAAAAAAAAAACATGAATGAAATCATCAAACAGATACACTGAACAAAATTCATCTTGTTAAAACAAAAACTTTATCTTTGTGAGAAAAGATCTTGACAACTTTATCCTATAAAAGAAACAATATACAATATAGATTCAACAAGTCATTACTAACAACAGGCATTTAAATATCTTTAAAATAAGATCTGTCCATAAAAATAATGTTGTTTTTTTTTGTTTGTTTTTTTGTTGTTTTTTCCTGATGTCCTAACACTAATCAGTACTAAATAATTGTTTTTATTAAATCATATTTTATATCATTATCATTAAATCAATTAAATCAAACTTGTTTTCCTATTCATAATTTTGTGGCATAAAATAATACAAATTTGTAATTTTTCAGCAATGCAATATGCATTTAAACTAACAGCATGACTTCATTTAAACTTAAATTGACACAAACACTCCTCAAAGAGAAGGCAAAAAAATATGATGCATTTTTCATTCAGCACTCGTACAACTAAATCAAGCATCTTCTTCACAAACTAAATTGCATTGTCATTTATTGCTCTTAAAACTTCTGTTTTTAATGGCAAACCTTGGATCTTTAATTGAATGTTGAAATCAATATTCACAATTAAATTTTAGAAAGTTCTGATCACCAAGCCCTTAAACTTTAACAATAAGGTACTCTACTCTGGCAGGCTGTAATGTTGGTAAAAACTTTGTCACCTACTTAGAATTCCAATTTTATGAATTAAATTTGATTGAGAATTTCTTCCAGATATAAAAACAAAAGCTCGGGAAAGGAGACTTTTTCATCATTGTACAATTAAATTTGGCTGCCAAGATGTTTTAGAACTGCGGGATGGAATAATGATTAGTAGCTTTGGGAAAGCTATTTTGAATTATATTTAATTTCATTAACATTGAGAAAGTTTTCAAGTCTCTCAATATTGTCAAGTTTGAAATATTTGTAAACATGCCAATAACCTTAAAAATCCTTTTACAAATTTTTAGCAGTACAGAACAGAACAGAACTTTTATTTCTTTGATTTGTACATAGAAGTCATCATCATATGCATCATATAATTTCAGAGTAACAAAATGAAGCCTTGAATTATTTTGCCAGTATTTGTGTTTGTTTTTTCCAAGAACTTTTACATTTCATTACATTTATCAGTTTTAATTCCTATAATCTAAGTATTTCTATAACTTTAACCAAACATATTTTTATGCCAATAATCATATAACCTAGACTTGATGCCAATAACTTAATAAGTTTCATATTCTTAAAAGTATTCTTAATCAAATAACCAATTAAACCATTTTAATTTCAATCAAATGAGTCAAAAGTCAATGACCTCAACTTGACCTTTGAAACGTACCCGGAAAATTTTATACTTAAATTATCGTCTTTTATATTATAAATTAAGTAAAGTGGCATATAAAATCACAATGCATGATAATGATTATTAATTCCACCAGAAAAAGACATCAGTAAAGGCATGGAGGAAACTGTATCAATGTTATAATGAAGAAATCAATGTTCAGCTGGTGATTAGACGATCATTGGTATAACTATACAAATTAGTGTCCTCACAGACGTGTTTATTAAAGACCTCAAGGGTGTCATTTTGTGTCAATCATAATGATGATATGAATTGATGTCATTTTACGATATTTAATCTGTACGATGATGTATTTTTAGCTGACAGATATTATATACAAATGTCTCTTTCAAAACCATTTGAAACACCAGTGAATTGGTAAATTGGTCATCAAAACTATTCAAAACCAGTGAATGTTTTTTTTTACATTGTTGCAGCCCAAAGCAACTTTATTGCGAGCTTAGACTATACACTGAGATCTTTTTTAAACAATGAACATTCAGCAGCCTATGAATTCAAAAATGTACATAAAAATATTGAAAAATTAGGTAATCAATTTCAATTTCTTGAAAATATACTTGCTATTCTTTAAGTTTCAATGTGTAACTAATATATATGTGCATTTTAGATTTTCCTGATGAAGCGCCTTTGTTATTTAAACTGTAAGTAACAAAATAATTTCTGATGTTGCCTAGCTTGTATTGATGACTTGTATGAACATATTTGCTCTAACTTCACTGGTATATATAGTATGAAAATAATGTTTCAAATATACAAAACATTGTTTTCTCATTTTATGCTTAGAAACCTATCCTAACCACTCAGAATAATATTATTCATTAAATCAAATCATGATCATATTCAAGACCCTGAACAATTTCTGGGATACATAAATATCATTATCTAAATGACTAAAATGAAAAACAAAATTAATGATCTGAATATATCTTTATTTGTTTCATAAGATTTGAATCAATCAATTTGTAATATATATAATTAACTTTGATCAATCAATATGTAATATAAATCATTAAAACCAATCTATCTATTATTAACGATTTCAATCAATCTATCAGAGAATTATCTGAATTAATTTATTTGTATTAATCTAGAAATCAAGATATTCTACCATTTTGGTATTGCATATCATTTAAATTGATCTATCTTTTTGGTATTGCAAATCATTTAAACTGATCTATCTTTTTAGTATTGCAAATCATTTAAATTGATCTATCTATTTGGTACTGCAAATCTTTTAAATTGATCATCTATTTGGTATTGCAAATCTTTAAAATTGATCTATATATTTGGTATTGCAAATCGTTTAAATTGATCTATCTATTTGGTACTGCAAATCATATAAATTAATCTATCTATTTGGTATTGCAAATAATTTAAATTAATCTATCTATTTGGTATTGCAAAGCTTTTAAACTGATCTATTGATTTGGTATTGCAAATAATTTAAATTAATCTATCTATTTGGTATTGCAAAGCTTTTAAACTGATCTATCTTTTTAGCATTGCAAATCATTTAAATTTATCTATCTATTTGGTACTGCAAATCTTTTAAATTGATCATCTATTTGGTATTGCAAATCTTTAAAATTGATCTATTTATTTGGCATTGCAAATCATTTAAATTGATTTATCTATTTGGTACTGCAAATCATATAAATTAATCTATCTATTTGGTATTGCAAATCTTTAAAATTGATCTACAGTCAACTATCGTTATCTCGACAAAGCTTTTCTCGATATTTCGTTATCTCGATTAAATTCTGAAAGTCCCGTTTTTTCCCCTTCTTTATCTATATTGAAAATATTTCTTTATCTCGATATTTTTATTTCGATTTTTTCAGTATCTCGATTTGATATTTCAGCCCAACAGTTATTTTCACACTATAATCCTTTGTTTATCTCGACAAATAATTATTCGTCTACCCCCTCCCGCAAGAGATGTGAAAAACACCAAGCGGACGGTTATCGCTTAAAATGCGTGTCGTAATAATTAATGATGATATGTTTGTAAAAATTAAGTCAAGGTGTTTTGAAATAATTTTTAATTAGCGTGTTGACTTATGTTGAAAATGAGTGAATCTTATTGAATAATCGGCAAATTAAATAAACGTGCTAACTATTCATAAATTGTGTGCTTTTATAAATGTGCTATTACTCTCACAAAATGATTGCTATGAAATGTTTTCATGTAATTTATATGTGTTATTATGCAATGTT